ATCCACCTAACCTTCAATGTTGGGGTTTTTCTTCTCAGTTTATACTTTTTCTAGAGTGGGTTTTGGCCATTATCATGATTTCTTCAGTTGCCTATAGCTGATAACTCCCATATCTTTTTTTTCATAGACTACATCTATCTCCTGATTTCCAAATCCATATAGCCAACTAGACACTTCCATTTTAGATAACCTACAGATATCTTATACTGATCATGCCCTAAACTGCACATACCATGTTTTTCCATATATGCTTCCTCTTCAACTCCCTTGTTGGGGGCATGGTACCACTGTCCTTTTGTTACAACAGGCCATTGACCATTGTTTTGATTCAACATTTTAAATGTTTCTTGAAATGGTTTCTGTTCATCTCTACTGCCACTTTCTCAGGACCAGAGTTCCTTTTAGCACAATACCCTCCCACCTGATTTTCTTGACTGCTCCCTTCTTGACTACAAGCAAATTTTCCAAATTGCCGCCAGAGTGAGCTTGTTAAAAAAAAAAATGGAAATATAATCTCATCACTGCTCCCTAAACTTTCAGTGATTCCCCATCATCTTCTCTTGGGTTTCTTAACTTTGGCATTATTGACATTTAGGCTATTTCTTTGTTATGAGGGCTGTTCTGTCCATTATTGAATATTCAGCAGTATCCTTGACCTTTACCCACAAGATAATAACAGCAACCCCCAACACCCAGTTGTGACAACCCAAAGTGTCTCTAGACAAATGTTCCTAGGCAAAAGTGCACCTGTTTAAGACCCACTGATCCACAGGATAAAAATCCAAATTTGTTAGCCTGTATACAAGGCCCTTTGTGATCTGCTCCTGTCTGCCTCTCCAGCGTCATTCATCCTCACACTACCCCCAGTGTTCCAGGTCTACCAGTTGCCATTAGCTTTCTTAAAGCTGTCCATACCTTCTCTATCTCTTTACTTGCCCAGGCTTTTCTCTCTGCCAGGCCCTGTCTCCCACCCACTGCTCTGTGTACTTGAAAAACCTTGGGTCCTCAGAATTTAGCACAGAAGGCACCCTTTCAGGAAATGGTTCTTGACACTTAATCTGGATTAGGTACCATTTTTGTGCTCCCATCACACCCCTGCTTCCCTCTCCTTGTTCACCCCACTGTCTGACATAAGTGTATCCAGAAGTCAGTGACAGCTGAATGTGTCCTCAGCATAGGGGTCTGCTCCTGGTGGGCATTCAGTAAGTGAATGGCTGGTGCTCAATAAGTCTTTGTTGAAGGAATGAATAGTCTTCCTTGAAACAGCTGCTTTTCACAGCTCTTTCACTTTCCACCATTCCAGCCTGTTTATGTCATCGAAATAAAGCCAGTTGGTCAGTAGGTCAAGAAGCAGTCTCCCCAAAAGCAAGAATTTTAAAGAAGAAAGTATGGCCGTACCGTAAACACGCACTGTGCTGGCAGTGGAGCACAAATAGCTTTACGTTTTGTGGTTGGTACTAGAAAATCAGCAATAAAAAAAAGTTGGACTGAAATGGGAACATGGAAAAGAAACACTACATTTTTCTCCTGCAGCATATGGATTTCTCATTAGTCCATGTAAGGGAAAACTGGGGGCGGGAAGGGCTCAGTGGCTGCAGCTGTCCACACTCTCCCCTCATCATTCTGCCGCCACCACACCTGGTCCCCAGAGATACCCTCACTTCTTAGCTATTTTGGCTTAGGTATGGACAAATCCCCCTGGTTCGGCAGAGACTGGCCTGGAATTTTTCAAACGAAGCTTTGCTAGGAAACTGGTGGGAAAAACAAAACAAAAGTAAAAACAGGAAATAAAGTATAGAAATGATAAAAATATAGCGTACCCAAAAAAAAAAAAAAAGTCTCTTAACTTCAGATAACTGAAATCTAGGATTTGCTTTCTTTGACTCTGTACTGTTTGTTTCATTTTGCCATGAAATTGTCTCTCTTTGGGGAACTTGTCATAAATCTTCCTTTTCAGTCTTATGTTTATTTTCCTTCTATTACTTAAGAATCATCTCCATTTTCATTTAGGGAAAATGGAAAGGAATTGGAATTGACGTTATAGTCACTTTATCCTATAGACAGCAGATCATAATGAGAAGTGATCAGTAACCTTTTTCTAAGGATGAAACAGATCAATGCTTGCAAAAAGAATCTGAGGACCAGTGCTAACTGTTCATAATAAAGATTTTACTTGCCAGGTGTGAAACAAAAAATGAAGACCATGTCATATGAGTTTTTTAATATTACTTAAGAACTGAACTTTAAAAAAAATTTTTGTAGTTATAGATGGACAGAATACCTTTATTTTATTTATTTTTTGTGATGCTAAGGATCGAACCCAGTGTCTCACACATGCTAGGCAAGTGCTCTACCACTGAGCTACAGCCCCAGCCCAGAACTTAACTTTTTACTCTAGGATTTTTTTTTCTTTTCAACCTTTTAGGCATTAAAATAGCAGATGGCAGGTCTGGATGTAGCTCTGTGGTACAGTCCTTGCCTAGCATGTGCAAGGCCCTGGGTTCGATCCCTAGCACTAGGGAAAAAAAATAGCAGATGGCTTATGTTTTTATGTATCAGCTAAAAATTAAATTAAAAATTTAAAAATAAACAATTCTAAAAAAATAAAATAAAATAACAGATGGTAGTTGTAAGGTTTTGCTTTGGTTTTGTTTTTTGTGTTCTTACTTGGCAAAATTAAAAGTTGATAACTCTCTGTAGGTACCCCCCACAAGTTTTTAAAAATTCTTTTGGTCTCTGAAATCCACAACTTTGACCAACAGATATTTTGTTCAGACATAGAAGTATCCTACCTTTTTTTTTTTTTTTCATGCTTGTAGGTCATTTGAAAAGGTATCTCAGTATGCAATTTATTTTGCAATCCTCCCAATAGGATATGCTATAAATTGTTTTCAAAAGCAAGTGGTGTAATTTTTTTTTTAAGTTTTGATGTTCTCTCCTAAGGAGCCAGATAGTTGGCTGTAATTCAGTCTTTATTCAGATACTCATTTATTGACTGAATATCAGTAAGTACACTTAGTATGTACTGGGTCCTGGGCAAATATAAACCTTTAAGGAAATCCTAGAGTAGGGAAGAAGTTCTAGTTGTAGCCAATAGGCAGGTATTGATACTCTGGGGGATAGGAGAAGAAAGTACCTAATTCCACTTTGGACAGCTTTACAGAGGAAATAAATTTTGTCCAAGGACAAGTTGAGGAAAGGCATTCTAGGCAGACATCTCCAAGACTGGAGATATTATGGGGACATTCCTGTCCATAGGCACATGTGCAGAAGATGAAGTTGGAAAGATATTACCCAGTTTTAATTTCATATTCCACAGCTACCTATGCTGAACATATGGATTTCATACTTATAGGCTAGAAAAAGACCTATAAAAAAGCCATATTTTGTAGTGTCCTTTTTCTTTATCCTTCCCTTCCTTAATGGCTTTTGCACTCACCACAGGAATTTAATATGGGTTAATGTCTTGTGCTTGGATTCAAAGTGTTAACTATCAAAACACAGCACAAGGGAGACCTGGCAGGCATTTTTGCTAACCATAAACTTATCCTGAGCCTGAGATGAGCCTCAGCTGCCACAAGAGCCAGTCTGTTGGCAGTGACACATGTGGAGCCCCAGACTTGGAGGAGCAGTGTCAGAGTTTGCCAGCACAAGCCCTGGCCAGACAGCATCTGGTCAGGTCTGAATCCCACCTGCTATATTTTAGATGATCTGTGGATAAAATCTACAGGGTGTCCCAAAGCCTTCATAAAAAGAGTAACATTAAAAAAGAGGGGCAGGATAGCTGCCTTTCATTATCTTAACAGGTTTCTTGAGGCAGGGGCAGATGATTCACTCTGTTACAACAGTGGATTAAAAAGAAATTGAAGGGAGATCAATTTTGGCTCAATATAAGTTTTTTTTTTCTTTTCTTTTCTTGTAGTATCAGGGATGAAACCCAGGGTTTCCCACATGCTGGGCAAGCACTGTGCCACTGAGCTACATCCCCAGCCCAAGATTATTTTTCTTTCTTTTTCCATATATTTTTATTGGTAAGTTATAGTTGTACATAATGGTGGGATTTGTTGTTGTTTACTCATATGGGCACACAATATAATTTGACCAATATCATTCCCCGGTATTTCTCCTTTTATTTTCCCCTCTTTCCTCCCTCTGGTCCTTCTTCTCTACTGATCTCCCTTTGATTTTCATGAGATCCCTCCCACCTTTTTCTTTTTCCTCTCTAGCTTCCACATATGAGAGAAAACATCCAATTCTTGACCTTCTAAATTTGGGTAATTTCACTTAACATAATGTTCTCAAGTTCCATCATTTTCCTGCAAATGACATAATTTCATTCTTCTTTCTGGCTTAATAATATATACTCCTTAATAATATATACTCCTCTGTGTGTATATATATATATATATATATATATATATATATATATATATATACCACATTTTCTTCATTCGTTCACCCATTGAGGGACACCTAGGCTGGTTCCATAGTTTGGCTATTGGGAATTGTGTAGCTATAAACATCACTATAATGTGATGACTTTAATTCCAAGGTAATTTCTTTTTCTTTTTTTTTTAATATTTATTTATTTTTTAGTTGTAGTTGGACACAATACCTTTATTTATTTATTTTTATGTGGTGCTGAGGATTGAACCCAGGGCCTCACATATGCTAGGCGAGTGCTCTACTGCTGAACCACAACCCTAGTCCCCCAGATAATTTCTAAGAGCTTTTTTTTTTAATTCTTATCACATAGTGCTCTGAGATTATTTTGACAAAATGTGTTTTGACAGAAACAAGGTAACTGTCTTCACCTGAAGAAATGCCATAGCAAAGAGTTCTATATGGTAGGGATGGTTAGATCTCTAAAGTAGCTTTCATCCTTAAAGTCGATGAAATTTTATTATTTTTCCCCATTTTTAAGTATCTGATTCTTTCCTGAGTTTGCCACCTTTATCTTTACATTAACCCAATTAATTGTGGATTTTCTTATTTTGTAGTATTTGACTAAAAGGATACCACAGAACCCAAAATATCAGCATGTCAAGTCAAGACTGGACACTGGTGAGTAAAGATTAGAAAGTTAGAATTTTTTTTTAATACAATAGCTAATTTTTGACAGAAAGCAGCCCATCAAAACTGGTATAAATCACAGCTAAAAGTTTCTCACTATCTTGCCTGATGTCTTTTTGGGCTCAGGACTTATCTTTGAAAACTGTTTTTCAAATTATCAGTAAAAATTTGCAGTTACATAATTTAGCTCATTTTTCATTACCACATTAGAAATAATAGAAATTGAGAAAATGAAATCCCAGAAATGGAAACCATTGTTCAGTAAGTTATGGCGCTGATGCTAAGTAAATATCAGGAGGTCATCTTCTGTTTTGAAGTACCTTAAATATATTGCTTCAAGCTGGTGGTAATATCCACGTGCATGTTTGTTCTGTTCGGTGTTCACACAGAAGGTACAAGTGAAACTGTGGACTTTGGGTGATAGAAAGATGAGTGTGGATTGTGGTTTTTGCAATGAAAGAGCTTAGATTCAAGTGATGGCAGACAGCTTGAATGAGTAACTAAAATATCAGACAAAATTTTTTTTTTTTTTTTTTTTTTTTTTATTAATATTTATTTTTTAGTTTTCGGCGGGCACAACATCTTTGTTTGTATGTGGTGCTGAGGATTGAACCCGGGCCGCACACACGACAGGCAAGCGCGCTACCGCTTGAGCCACATCCCCAGCCCCAGACAGACAAAATTTAATTAGTGCTGCAGTTTAGGTGAAATATGGTTTACAAGTACCTTCCTACTTATTTCCTTGCTATTCACATCCATCAGTGTCGTGATGAGGACTGCTGTCCAGATCCTGGCGGATTTGCAGTCTTGTGAGGTTTGGGTTGTTTGTTTGTTTTTTTTCTACCCTTTAAATCCTGTTGTGGAAAATCTACCTGATTAAGATGGCTTTGCTAGGGGATTGAGGGACTCTCTACCTTTAGCAGTACTGAATTTTCCACCAGTACCTCAAGACAACTGAGGAAAGCAAAGGGGGGTGTTGTCCTTGTTTAAATGATCTCATTTATTTTGTCTTTCTCTTTCTGCAGTCTCCTTAAAAATCAATATCTTCCATTGCGTATGTTTCCTCAAATAACCTGGACTTCAATTAAATGTTTCAAATGCAGATACTATTTCTTTTTACCTTTCTTTCAAAAATCTCCTTGTCATACAGATATTTATCCTTGCAAATATCCTGTTTGATGGGCAGGTGAAAATATTATCACTGTTTTTAGAGGAGATGGAAATTGTGGCCTGGAGATTTTGTGGTTTACTCAGAGTTCAATATAGAAGCTAAAGCCAGGATTGTTGGCAGAGTGAGAAAGTCAATACTAGAGAGTAGGTGCCAAATCTAGTGTAGTGTCTCACCACCCTGTGTTTCCCCCAGCCTTGTTTCTTCTATCATTTGTACTCTGAGCTCCTTCGCTTGTACCCACCTCCCCCTTAATTGCAATAGTGGCCCACCCTTCTGAAATAAGTGATATGGAGGTAAGCACCAGATATGGGAGAGTCCAGAAGTGATGTTAAAAGACTACTGTCCTTGAAATCTTTATAGCTTTGAAATTAAAATTTGTAAAAACTGAGATTTATCTAAGATACTTAGGTTCGTCTATGCCTTTGTAATTTTTTTTCTCTTGAAAATCAAACTGGGGTTTATGCTACCCCATTCTTTCTTTTCAGTTTCTTAATTTATAACTAAAATTTGATTCACTAATAGTGCCTGAAATTAATTTCAGTTTTTGTAATATTGAGATACTTATGTTGGTTTTTATAATATATATTAAATACCTATATCTAGTATATCTTGAGAGTTTTAAACTACTTTTTAAAATTAGCTTTTTATTCTGAGATAATTGTAGAATCACATGCATTTTGTAAGAAATGATACAGAGAGATTTCATGTACCCTTTTTGCAGTTTCCTATATGGAAACATCTTTAAAAACTATATTGTCACAACTGTGATATTGACATTGACATGTCAGTCAAGGTACACAACATTTCTATCACCCCAAGATTCCTTATGTTGTCCTTTCTACTCCCACTCAAATATTTAACCCCTGACAGGCACCAATATTTCTCTGTTTCAATCATTTTGTTTCACAAATAGTATATAAATGGGATCCTATAGTATGTAACCTTTGGATTGTCATTTTTTTTCTCAGCATAATTCTTAAGATTCGTCCAGGTTATTACATGTGTTGATAGTTTATTCCTTTGTATTACTGGCTGGTATTTACCTGTTGAAGACCATCTGCATTGTTACCACTTTAGGGCTGTTACAGATGAAAGTACTATAAACATTCATACAGATTTATTTATTTATTTACTGCAGTCGTGGGGATTGAATCCAGGGGTGCTGCACCACTGAGCTACATCCCCAGCTCTTTTTATTTTTTATTTCCACACAGAGTCTTGCTAAGTTGGTGAGGCTGGCCTCAAACTTATCATCCTCCTGCCTCAGCCTCCTTAGTAACTGGGATTACAGGTGTGCACCTCCTTGCCTGGCTTATGTACATATTTTGAGTGATCATAAGTCTTCATAATTGCCCAGGAGTACAATTGCTGAGTCACATGGTAGTTTATTTGTGTGGTATAAGAAATTGCTGAACTGTTTTCCAAAGTCACTGTACTATTTGATGTTCCCACCACATTGGTTAAGTGGTTCATTATCTCTGATAGCCATTCTGATAAATGTGTAGTAATGTATTGCAATTTTACTTTCCCTAATTGCTGATGATGAACATTGCATTTGCTTATTTGCCTTTTGTATATCTGGTAAGATGTCTGTTCATGTCTTTTGCCTGTACTAATTGAATTGTTGGGCTTTTTTGCTGTTGAATTTTGAGAGTTTCTTATATATCTCAGTTACTTAGGAGGCTGGGATAGGAGCAGTATAAGTAACCCTTTTTATTTTTTCAGACAAGGTCTTTAGGTTGACAAGGCTGGCCTCAAACTTACATTGCTCCTATCCCAGCCTCCTAAGTAACTGGAATTGCAGGCATGAGCCACTGCATCCAGCAAAAGTTTTAAATTTTGATGAGGACCAATTTTTCAGTTTTTCCTTTTATGGATCATGATTCTGTTATCAACTGTAAGAACTCTTTGCCTATCCCAATGATTTTTTTCTAAAAACTCTCTAGTTTTAAATTTTACATTTAAGTCCATGATACATTTGAGGTGATTTTTATAGAAGGTGTGTGACTTAATCAAGATTAACTTTTTTTGCTTATGGGTATACAGTTGGTTCAGCATTGTTTGTTTAAACGGTTACTTATCCTCCATTGAATTACACGTTCATTTTTGTCAAAAGTCAGTTGGGCATAAATGTGTGGTTCTGTTGCTGGGTCTCTGTTCTGTTCCTTTGATCAGTGTGTTTGTCCCTCTACCATTATTGCCCAGTCTTGATTACTGTAGCTACATGGTAAACTGGATTAATTAAAATTGGTTATGCTGATTATTTTTCTTTACAAAATTAGCTATTCTAATTTCTTTTCAGACAAATTTTGTGATAACCTTATTTAAAATTTGCTGTGATTTTGATAGGAGTTGTTCTTCAATTTGGAAAGAATTAACATCTTTACTTTGTTGAGTAACTGTTAACATGTTTTCTATATCCATGGACTTGTCTACTCTGAAAATTTCATAAAAATGAAATCATATAATAAATATATAGCCTTTGTGTCTGTCTTCTCTCATTTAGTATAGTGTTGTCAAGATTCATCTGTGCTATAGCAGGTGTCAATACTTCATTCCTTTTTATTGCCAAATAATATTCTGTTGTACATCTATTCTGTGTTTGTTTATCTACTCATTAGTTGATGGACATTTGGATTATTTACATTTTCTGGCCAAAGTGCTGCTTTGAACATCAATGTATACAAGTTTTTGTGTGAACATGTGTTTTCAGTTCTCTTGGGTATATGCCTAGGTGCTGAATTGCTGGTCATATGGTACTCTATGTTTAATTTTTAGAGAAACTGCCAAACTATTTTTTCAAAGCAGCCACAGTTTACATTCCCATCAGCAATGCAGGAAGGCTCTGTTTTCTCCACATTCTCACTAATGCTTGTTATTGTCCATCATGTTGATTATAGCCATCGTTGTGGGTGTGAAGTAGTATCTCATTATGGTTTTAATTTGTATGTTCCTAATGACTAATGATGTTGAGCACCTTTTTTATGTGCTTGTTGGAATTTTTATATCTCCTGTGGAGAAATGTCTATTCAAATCATTTGCCTGTTTTAAAATTGGGTATTTTTCTTTGTATTACAAGAGTTCTTTTATTTATTCTGGATATTAGACTCTTACTCTGTTCTATTCCCTTGATCAGTATGTCTGTCCCTCTACCATTACCACCCAGTCTTGATCACTGTGGTTACATGGTAAATTAAATATTTAAAATTGGAAAAGTAAACTGATTATTTTCAGTTTATTTTTATTTATAAAATATAATCATTGTATTTTCTCCTATTATTACTATTGATTATTATTATTTTCATTTTATTTTTCTTTACAGAAATATAATCATTGTGGATATTTTCTCCTATTCTATGAGTTTTCTAGCATTTTTTGTTGTACTCAGCTGAAGGAGTAAAGTATATCTACCCATCTTCCTGGAAACAAGAGTCTCCCAAACTAGTTTCATAATAGTTTTTGGAAGGGCCAAAGCATGCCTCAGTGCTTTAAAGCTCAAAATATTTTAAAGTTAGTGTGGGAGAGAAATCTTATTCTAGGACTTGATTGTGTGTGTGTGTGTGTGTGTGTGTGTGTGTGTGTGTTTCAAATTTAGAATCTATTTTAAAGTCAACTTAGGGGAGAGATTTTATTGTAATGTTGGTATTCTGTTCTGTACATTTTTGTGACTGACTTCTCTGTTCAGAGGAGGTCTTCTACCTGGTGTGCAGCACCTGTGGTTATGTACCAAGACCCAGAACCCATCATCCTTTGAAGCCAGCAGGACCTGGGGCAGCCCAAACCCCAGCGTTTTGTCCAAATATTATCATTGCTATTTGTG